AGGTCAGACCATACAAGCAGTAAGCTCCAAGGTATGAGCCCCCACCAAGCTCCCTAGCAGTCACTGGGCTGGCCCCACTGCCCTGCACTCAGCCCCTGTAACTGGAGCCCCCATTCTCTCAGGGCAGCTACATCAGTAAGGTTTTTAACTGCCTAATCTAGACCAAGAACGGGTTATAAGATCTCTGCCTAGATGCCCTCTTGAACCCCTGGAGGGGGACACATAGGCCCTGACACTGTCAAGTTAGTAAGCAGGGAAACGGAAGCCCTCACTTTTCCGGCTGGTGCAGACCCAAGCCTGGATTTGAGCTTGGGTCTCTATAGTTCAAAGTCCCCACAGAATGCACAGTATGTGTCCTGCCAGCCTCATTGCTCTGGCACCTCCCAGGGGGACCCCACATGACACCCCACATCCACTCCCCTCCTCCCTCCCACCCACACCTCGCTGGGCTCACACTGGAGCTAGTGACAACAGGGCGGCCACGCGCGCCAGCACGTGGGCCCACCTGGCAGTCATTTGCAGTGCGTTGGAGGCCCTCCTGCTCCTCACCCTCCACATACTGCTGACTCTGCCACCGCCTGTCTTTGGGATGCCGTGCGCCTGCTTATTTTGTCAGAGCCAATGTTTGCAGCAGATGCTTGGTAGCATTGGCCACCCTGTTTATGCCTGAAATACCCCAGCTTCCACTGCCCGTAGTCTCTAGCCTCAGAACCCTTCCTACCTAGCCTAGTGTGGCATCACCCAGAGCAAGCGCTGGGTGGAACACCCTGTCCAGAACTGCTTTGTCAGGGGACCCTCTCCATTTTCCTTTCTCTCTGCCCGCCCCCTAGCTCACCCAGGACCTCTGTGTCTCGTTGTTAGGAACATCGGTGGTACATCTGTCTTCTCCATGATACAGAGCTCCTGGGGGGGAGGGGCAGTAAGAGCCAAAGAGAAAACCTAAAAACACGAGGTTACCGCCAAGTCTTTCTAACCTTGTTGGCAAGACAAGAGCACTGGCCCCTCTGCCCAGTCCAAGGGCATAACTACTTGGCTGGCACAGCATGGTAGGAGCCCAGCCCCAGTGGTCTAGAAACAAGGCAGCCTGAGGAAGAGCTCAGGCAGATCCAGGTGCCTCACTGCCCGCACTGAATGGGTCCCCTCTTGGTGGTCAGAGAAGCAGCGTAGCACTTTCCTGAACAGTCATGGACCTTCTGGCGTCTGCAGTGCTTCTCATGGCCACCTCTGGGGATGCCATTCTGAAGGTGTGGCGGGGCAGAACTTGGCTCCCACTGCAGGGCCCTCTTGGGTCCTTTCCTAGGCAAGACAAAACTGCCTGCCACACAGGTGATCGGAAGAACTGAGTTAGTTCACGTGGGGCTCACTGGAGCCTGCCGCGCCAGGGCTGCCAGAGCTCCAGCTTACAGGTGAGGCAGGAGGCAGCTGTGTGACTTCCCAAGGTCACACATCTCCTCAGTAGGCCAGCCGGGGTGAGTGGTCCGCCAAGTCTTCGATTGGCCAGCCTGTGGTGGGAGGGCTCTGCAGAACCAAGCGAAGCATAAAAAAGACTCATGGCTTAGCCGTCACCGTGGTGGCTGTATGTGTACTGTGTATCCTCTGCCAGAGGCCCATTGAGGAGAAAGGTGGTTTAGATTTTCTGGACATCAAAAATCTCTATGCCAAGTGAAGTCGGGGCCCAGGGTGCCCTTGTGACCAGCTTGGTCTGTCCTCTGAATGATGCCTGGGACTTTTGAAGAAAAATGGGGACTTGTTCTTTCTGGGTGAGCAGTGGTCCTGTGCCCCTAGCCAAGGACTGCTGTGTATCTGGATGGTACAGCTAGACTACCTGATACCTAGGGTCTCCTCCGCTCTGTCCTGCTCCCGCCTTCATGTAGCTGGACAGTGGGGCTTTTCAGAAGCTGCCCCACCCGAGACTCCAAGTCCCAGCTGGCCCCAGCTGGCCAGGACCCCAGATGTTTCCCCACCCTAACAGCAACCAGATGGTGCTCATGCCCAGCCCCCGCCCCGTCATGCTGGCCAAGGAGAGGACAGGGTGGGTGGGGGACTGGTGAGGGAGGAGACTCTGGGCTACTGAGACCTCCCAGGACCTCATCCCAGCGCATGCTTCTGACGTGGTCGGCAGATGGTGAGCTGGCCCCCGTTCAGCTATCCAAACAGAAAAACAGGCTTGGCAGCGTCACAGCGCAACAAAAATGCATCGGCTGCCTGATGGGTCGGGTGGATGCGCCAGCAGGGGCTGAGGAGGCAGAGGCTGGAGAAGGCTGCCCTGGCAGCTTTGAAACGCATGGGAAAGTTGTAGATTGTGTTTATTTACAAATACTTAGAACTGCTGGCTCTCCCAAGAGCCTGCCACTGGGCCCCTCTCCAGCATGCTCAGGGCCAGCCTGCCACCCTTACCCACAGCAGCTCTGGAAAGGCTGACCACCAGCAGTTCCTGGAGACCCTGGCCCAGCCCTAGGGTGAAGCTCATAGGTTTAGAGATGGAGGCTGTGAGCTCTGGTGGCCTCATCTGCTAATGTAGACTCGAGCTGTGATGTCATGACTGAGGCTGGAGTTCACGTAGGTCACATTCCCCATGTGCTCAGAGCTTCGTGGCTACAGAAAGCACACACTGATGTCTGAGGTCCTGCTGTAAGCTTTGTTCTGGGCTGAGGCTGGAGAGTGGGAGGACAGGGGAAAGAGAGGAGATAGTTCTGTGGGGATCCTGGCCAGTGCATTTTGGGGGCCAGAGCAGGGACTGTGCATCAGTGTCGGGTGCTCTTGGCAGCACCTCTGTTTACCACCACCCCGTGTGTGTGTGTGTGTGTGTGTGTGTGACCTTGCTTCCCTTTTCTGTGCAAAGGACGATATGGTGCCTGCTTAGCCAGGATACAGGTAGGGAATATTGGCTGCAGACTCTGGGAGGAAGCATGGTGATGTAGAAAGTCCATACATGGCTCTGTGTCCAGCAGGGCACAGGCCTGTCGCTTCCCACAGTGCTGCAGAAAGGAAAGGAACCTGAGGGACCCTGAGTCCCGAGTCACACAGAGGCAGCCCTGGGCTGTCTACTGGTCTCAACAGGTTGTGTGGCTTGCATACCAGCTGACAGGGAACTGTGCCTCAAGCCCCTGCCCTGCCCACAGGCCAATCTCCCACTGCTGCAGCGGGAGCTCCTGCACTGTGCCCGCCTGGCCAAGCAGACGCCTGCCCAGTACCTGGCCCAGCATGAACAACTCCTGCTGGACGCCAGTGCCACCTCCCCTGTCGACTCTTCCGAGCTCCTTCTGGAAGTCAATGAGAACGGCAAGAGGAGGACACCTGACAGGTAACAGCCTCTCACAGATCCCAGGACAGGGAGGTGACCCAAGGCGGCCTCTCCCTGCCCATCTGCCTCTGCCACAGCTCTGCCAGACAGCTGGTCCAGTCTGCTGTCTACAGCAGGACCGATCAAGAGCTGCTAATACTGCCAGCTGGTGGGCTGGTGACATTGGGTTCTGCAGCATACGCTGCCCTATTGAGCGACGGACCTGGGGTCTCTGGGATCCCGGGAAGACAGCAGCTCAGGAAGGGGTCTCTCCCACCAGAACTCATTTGTCTTTGTGCTGTTTGAAGACCCTGAGTGACCTGGAGCCTAGAGCCCTTGGTGGCTGGGCTGGACTGGACCCCTTGACTGGCCACAGAGGTACTGGTCCTACCACTGTACCACAGTAGGGACCACACCTGGCCATGGGACCCTGGATGTCTCCCTCCCTCCGTTCTCTACCAGGAGTCCCAGAGGAGGTCAGAGTGGGGGACCAGAACCCAGGGGGGCACTCCTCTGAGTTTCTGCCTCCACCCTGCCTCTCCTCACCTCTATTATTACCCTCTGTCCAAGACTGGGGCTGCTATCCATTGGCCACCTGTTTTCTTGGTCAGGACCAAAGAGAATGGGTCAGACCGGGACCCTCTGCACCCTGACCACCTCAGTAAGCGGTCCTGCACCCTGAGCCCAGCCCAACGCTGCAGTCCCAGCAATGGGCTGCCCCACCCTACACCACCCCCGCCCCCACACTATCGCCTCGAGGACATGGCCATGGCCCACCACTTCCGGGACTCCTACCGACATCCTGATCCCCGAGAGCTGCGGGAGCGCCATCGGCCCCTCGGTAAGTGGTGTGAGAGCCATCGACCCCTTGAGGTATGGACACAGAGAGTGAGTGAGTGAAGCCATGGGTCGGCGAGCCTGCACGTGTGTCTAAGCCTGCATGTGCTTGTATTGGAGAGAGTTGACATGCATTTTTTTAGGGTTCAGTCAGCAGTTGCTTGTACCTATGCTCTGGTGGAAGGTACTGCAGCTGTAATCACTACCTTATCCGTCCAGTAAAGAAACAGGGGTAAGGAGTCAGTAGCCGCCACCCCAGTGCCCAGGTAGCCTGACTTGCCCCTTCAGAGCCAAGTTGCCCCTTCTCACACACAGAATAGCCCTAGGGCAGAGGACCCTGTCCGAGGAAGCAGCCTTTACCACCCTCCTGGGCTGGGCAGCCTACAGAGTAGCTGAAGGCAAGGCTACCAGCAGGGCTGCCTGGCTGTCCTTGAATCCAGAAGTGGGCCATATGACCTCTCTGCCTCAGTTTCTTCCTCTGTCAGAACAGTTGTGTGAGGACATGAACATTGCTAGAGCACCTGGCACACGGTGTCCTCCAAAGCCCAGTTGCTGATGACAGGGACAGCAGCTGACACAGAGCACACGCACGCTGGCATTTCTCAGCCTGTACCCACACACCTCCAAGGTGTGGCTGAGGCTCCAAGAACACGAGTGGGACAGCCATGGGTGGTCACAGCAACACCTGCCTGGCAACGCCCTGCTAGACCCCGTGTGTTGGAAAGGAATGCTCGAGATGACCATCCAGGGTCATGCAGGATACCTATAGGATCCCAGACCAGGGTCAGCAGAGGCCTCTCCCTACCCCCCACACACTGTGGAAGCTTCCAGGGCCTGGACCTAGGCAGCAGGTGACAGTGTCTGGCTCACCACAGCCGGGTCAGGCAGGTGCTAATTCCCACTCGCTTTTGCTAATGCAAAAATAAACGCCAGCTGTCGCGCAGATCTCAGCCTCTATTTTAGTTGGGGCGTTGGCACAGGCCCCTTGTGGGCAGCCAGAGAGAGTGCTGGATGACGGCTGTGGCCACTCCCTGCCCTTCTGCAGCTCGAGGAAGGCATTTCAGGTTAGGGCACTAAGAGGTCCTTAGGCACCGATGGCAGCTTTAAAGAGAGGCTTTGCCCCCAGGAAGCCTGGGTTGGCACCAGCTCACCTGCACAGCATCAGTTACCACACTGGAAGTATTTGACACCGCAGGAAAACCAAGAGAGGACCATCATGTCCCTCATGTCCAGTGGCATCCCACACCCTGCCCCACCCCATTTGGCCATCCCCGAGGTCAGGGATCCAGGCTGCCCTTACACCATACACTGCCTCCCCCACTTGCTGCCTGGTAACTATGGGCAGACATGATCTTCACCAGCCTCAGTATGTGCATCTGTTACATGGGAAAGACAGACCTTCGCTCCAAGGTCAGGGCAGAAAGAAGGGCACAGTGCTTAGCACCAAGCCCTGCTTGGGGACACCTCCTCAAGCTTACCAGGTCAGCTTGGGATCTTCTTACTTCTCACTATGTTCAGAACTAGGCAGGGTCAGGAAACTGAGGCAGGGAGTGGCAAGATAAGGGCTCCAGGGTCCCGTGTGCAATGAGCCATCCTGGATTGCTACTTTGTCTGACCCTGCAGCCAGTAGATCTGATCCCAAGACCACACTCAGGACTGGTAAACACCCAGGCCAGAGTTCAGCCTGGGGACACAGAGGTAAACACAACACACCATCTTTCTCCATGGAGCTGACAGTCTGGGGGTAGAGAATAAACAGGGAAGTCTCATACCTAGAGACCAGAGACACATGGCCTGAAGAATTCCAAAGACTCTGCAGCTGTAGAGGGGCCCTGTGGCCTGGACTTTGAGGAATGCATAGGAGTACAGATATTTGAGAGGAAGTTGTAAACACACATAAGTTGGGCAGCTGCACAGAGGCCCTGAGGTTTCTGGACCGTGATAAGACAGACCCTTAAAGTGGATCTGGAGCTGCCTATCAGAAATGGGCAGAGAAAAGGCAAGAGGAGCTGGATTGGAAGGCTAGTAGGGAGGGAACGAATGGCCAAGGCAGAACCAGGGATGACGAGTGTTTTACCCCGAGTAGGAATGGTACTTAGGAAGTAGGCGGCACCTAGGAGTGGGGGCAGGACCTGAGATCCAAGTCAGGGCTTAGTTATGGCAAGGGTGGGGTTTGGCACCCGCAGGGGGGCCTAAATGTGCATTGCCCTTTCTGCAGCCATGCCTGGGTCTCGACAAGAAGAAGTGATTGACCACAGGCTCACAGAACGTGAGTGGGCAGAAGAGTGGAAACATCTCAACAGTGTGAGTGCCCAGGTGGAGTTTGGGCCTCGGTGATTCCCAGAAAGTCTGCAGGACTCTAGAGCCTAAGGCTGGGGGTGGGGAGCAACACTGAGTTTGGGCTGCTCTGGGCTCAGCATCTCCTGGCAGGACCTATCTGAGTGCCTACTGTCTGCCTGTCCCTTTATGTAAACATCGCTGTCTATTGTTGACCTATCAGGATGCTGTGAGAGAACAGAGACAAGGATGCTGAACCATGCAGACAGGCCCTTCTTCCTCTACTCTTTCCTGCTCAGAGACTTTTTTTTTTCTGGTTTTTCTAGACAGGGTTTCTCTGTAGCTTTGGAGCCTGTCCTGGATCCTATCCTGTAGACCAGGCTGGCCTTGAACTCACAGAGATCCACCTGGCTCTGCCTCCCGAGTGCTGAGATTAAAGGTGTGTGCCACCACTGCCTGGCACTTAGACACTTGCAGAGTAGAGCCCCAGTGGTGTAGGCTATCTTGGTGGTAGGTGCCTGAGCCTCTGGTCAGGCCAAGTGGACCGTGTCTTGATGTTCCTGGGAGCTCCAGTCCTCTGACCACCATGCACTCTGAAGTGTGGGCCCCTTACCTGCTTCTTTCTTGGGGATGTTCCCAAGGCAGATTGCTCTCAGAGTTTCAAAGGAAAGATCCTAAGCCTGTACTCTGCATCCAAAGAAGTTCCCATTCAAGTTGGGTGCCCATAGGCACTGGGAACCATTTCACTGTTTGTGGGGAGCCAAGGTAGATTTCTGTGCCCTGCCTTCAGGGATGATGAGCTGGCTCCCTGACCACCCCCTCCATGTTGGATGGCCACATCTGGCCACAACCCCGGTTCCAACGTACTGAAGGCCCTGCCACCCACCTGCAGCTCCTGAACTGCATCATGGATATGGTGGAGAAAACACGGCGATCCCTCACTGTTCTGCGACGGTGCCAGGAGGCTGACCGTGAAGAACTCAACCACTGGATCCGGTGCTACAGCGACTCCGAGGAAGGAAAGAAGGGCCCCACCCCCACCTCTGCCCGGCCCCTCAACAGCTGCAGTGGCCCTGAGGGGTCTCAGCTAGGTGTGTACCAAGGAAGAACACGGAAGACCTGTAGTGAGGGGTTGCTAGCCCTGCACAGTCTCTGTAGGATGCCACTAATTCCCCAGAAAGCTAGCCAATAGTCAGGCCTTACTTAAACAGAGAGTGTCACTTGGAAAAGGGGGCCTTTTTCACTTGCAGAAATATGCACCTGGTCTTCTAGGAAGTGTGGACCTCCCAGGATCTAGTAGGTACAGGCCAAGCTTAGGAGGTAGCACTTAGAGGCTTCTATTTACCCATCCACCACAGTGGTGACCACAGAAACTAGGGGAGGCCTAGGACATGCCCAGCTCCCTGCCTGAATCCATGTCCACTGGCTATAGAGCATGCCACCCCAATCCCCCTGACCGCCCTGGCGGCATTGTGAAGCCCTGTTTCCCAGGAAAAAGTATTCCTTGCCTTCAAGCCCTGGCCGGAGGGGAAGGGAAGCCAGTGTGGATGAAGGCAGCTGATGCCCCCAGCTTGTGTATGACACTGTGCCCCACCCCTTTGTTTCAGATGCCCACCGGGACTTCATGCCCAGGACCCTCTCTGGCTATATGCCTGAGGAGATCTGGAGGAAGGCTGGTGAGTAGGGCTATGGGGACAGACCCTGGGGACAACCGTAAGAAGTGTCTGCAACTCAGAAGGACTCCATCCATGTGCAGCAAGTTTGTGGATTTACACATTGGGCCACACAGGAGTGTGCACAAAATGCACAAACATACACACACACACACACACACACACACACACACACACACACACACAGAGAGAGAGAGAGAGAGAGCATGAGAATGAGAATATGAATCAATTACAGCCAGAGTTCACATAGTCCCTTCTGGCTCCCTTGGATAGGCCTAAGCAAAGCCAAGGAGCAGACCTGTTGTTCTCAAGGCAGGTCCTTCACAGCAGTCGCTTGCCTGAAGTCTGTTAGAACAGAATCCTGGACACCCCCCAGAACCTGCTGGATCATACTGTGGGGCGGGGACTAGACCTCACCCCCTGAAGATGCACACCAGAGTGAGGACCATGACACTTGCAGGTGGAGGTTGAGCTTTAGAAAGTTTACCCACAGCTCTATTCCTCTTGACCAGGGTTGCACACATGTGCCCAGGACTTACATATTCATCCACATGTGGGATATTTTGATCATACTCTGACACTCCTGAGACTGCCAATAAAGTTTACCTTGAGTCAGAGGGCAGAGCTAGCTACTAGCTGACCAAAATTAGCCATAGAGGTTTTGGAGGACCCAGGACATATAAAGAGACACAGAGGGGCCTGGGTGATGACTGGCCAGTGTGACCACCAGCCCACCTCTGTGCTTTACAGAAGAAGCCGTGAATGAGGTGAAGCGCCAGGCGATGTCAGAGCTACAGAAAGCTGTGTCTGATGCAGAGCGCAAAGCCCATGAACTCATCACCACAGAGCGTGCCAAGATGGAGCGAGCCCTGGCTGAGGCCAAGCGGCAGGCCTCAGAGGATGCCCTGACTGTCATCAACCAGCAAGAGGACTCCAGCGAGGTAGGGCCACTGGCCACCTCTACACTCCACTGCTGCCTCCAGGTGCACTGTATTCCGAGGGTTGACCAAACCTGGGTTAGAACACCACACCTGTGCAACCTCTCGGCCAATGAGCTCTCTGCTCTCGGGGTCACGACTGTCACTGGTGGCATAAGCAACCATTCAGTCTGTTCAGCACTGCTTGTCAGTAAATACAGAGACCCATGAGGACTGGTAAGGTGTCTCTCAGGCCTTCCCAACCTGCAAGTGGCAGGAATTGAAGGTCCAGAGAGTAATGTCTTGTCTGGGGGGGCTGGCACGTGTTAGGGCCCATATTCCATCAAAGCCTGTCAATATCGAACCCTCTGTTCTTTAACTTGTGAAAGCAAGAGGTCTAAGGAGACTTTTCAGGACCCTGGGGCCTCCCTCAGCTTCTGGCAGCTCAAGAAACAGGAAGGAGAAAGCCATGAGACCTATGACCTTGTGTGCCTGGGTGTCTGGGCACTGTGCTCCACCCAGCAGGGTGGGTACAGGAGGACTTTCTGAAGACTGTTTGCTCTGCTCCAAGAGTTTGGTTGGCAGGACATCGGGAAGAAAGGAAAAGTCCTTCTAGGAAAGTCATTCATGGGCTGCCCCTTAGGAAGGGCCAGGTCTCCAACACTGAAGGGACAAAGCCAGGAGGCTCCTGGGGCTTGCTGGGCCACCATCTTAGCCTAACTGGTCAGCTCTAAGTCAGTGGTTCTCAACCTTCCCAATGCTGAGACCCTTTAATACAGTTCCCCTTGTTGTGGGGACCCCCGACCATGAAATGATTTTCGTTGTTACTTCATAACTGCAATTTTGCTACTGTTACGAATCATAATGTAAATATCTGTGCTTTCCAATGGTTTTAAGCAACCCCTGTGAAAGGGTCATTCAGCCCCCAAAGGAGTCAAGACCCACAGGTTGAGAACCACTGCTCTTAGCCAATGAGAGACCCTATCTTAAAATAATGCGGACAGTATTCAGGAATAATACCAGATATTGTCCTCAGGCCTCCACACGCACACATATACATATGTGCCCACACACTCATGTGTTCATGCACATATGCACATGCACACAGGATCTCAGAGCTGTCATGAGACAGGCAAAGAGCCAACTGGAGTGTTGGGTATTTGGAGGTGGGGATAGTTTGGGAAGTACGTCACTAGATGGGACATCCGAGCAGACCCGAGGAAGGGGAGCCATCAAGTACCAGAGCCATCCTGATGAAGAGTCCAGCAAGGCCCTCCTGGGCGGAGCAGCCTAAACTGGAGAACAGCAGGCAGGGGTGAGGCCAGAGACTTTAGGAGCCAAATAGAGACAAGAAGTAGGCTTTGAGTCCTGAAGCAGGGGCAGCCTCCCAGTCCCACAGCCCAGCCACCTTACAGGGATCTCCAGCCATCCCTGAGGGAAACACAGTCAGAAAAGGGAATCCTGGTCAGTGAGCACCTCTCCTCCCAAAAGAGCTCAGTGAGTGCTCGACAGCTCAGTTGCCTCTAGGGGCTCTAGAGTTCTTTCTTCTTCCTGGGTGAAACCCTAACTGGGTTTTAGCAGCTGGGCGTGGATGCACAGCTCTCTCCTGCAACTCTCTCTGTCTCTCTATCTCTCTCTCCCTCCCCCTCTCTGCTTTTCAGCAGTGGGCAGGCTGTCTGGGCATGTGCATTCTGTCCCATTCTGACCATCTCCTTTGCCCTCCTCCACATCCAGAGCTGCTGGAACTGCGGGCGCAAGGCCAGTGAGACTTGTAGCGGTTGTAATGCAGCACGCTACTGCGGGTCCTTCTGTCAGCACAAGGACTGGGAGAAGCATCATCATGTTTGCGGCCAGAGTCTGCAGGGCCCCGCAGCGGCAGTGGCTGACCCACTGCCTGGACAGCCTGACGCCACTGCCAGCCCCAGTGAAGCCGGCTCAGCAGGGCCCTCTCGCCCCTGCTCTCCGGGCCCACCCGGCCCCCTGGACGCCGCCGTGCCCCGCTGACCTCCAGACCTGACGCCCAGCCCATGGACGCCATGCCCTGCCAACCTCCTGGCCCCACCTTGGCCCACCAGATGCCTGGAGCTGGCCAGGTGGAGTCACTGCTGCTACTGCTTCTCTCCAAAAGAAAACACAGATCCAACGACACTGCATCCGTGCAGCCTCAGCTACCTGACAAGGTCTTGCCAGGACCTCCTACAGCCTCTCTTCACAAGCATCCTCAGAAACCACTTCAGAGCTGCAGACGGTGGTGCCCGCGCCTCGGAGTATGGCCGGCGCTGCCGCTGTCTGCCCCCATGTCTGTCTCTCTGTTCCTGTCCCTCTCTCTGTGTCTGCCTCTGTGGTTCTTGATGTCCTGGTCTCCCTCTGTTTCCCTTACCCCGACTCTCCCTGTGTCTCTGATCCTCTCTGTCTTTGTAAAGTCCACATGCTTTCTCTGGAATCAGAGAAACCTAATCGGTGGCTTTTCTTTTCAGTGAAGAACTTTTGGAGATTTTGTTTTGTTGGCAAACAAGCTACTTAGAAATGGACAAAGAACTGTGGGGTTCTCCCCACTCCTTATTAGAAAGGGAAGAAACTGTGATTTTCTATCGAGTTGCTGCCTCACCCAGCCAACCCCAGGGGGATCGGCGCACACAGCAGAGATGGTGAGAACAATTTCGATTTCCAACTCAAGAAGCATTTTTTGGTTTCAGGTTTTATTTCTTTTCTTTAATGTCAAACTCTTTGGCTTTAAGTGAAAAAAAAAATCCAAAAAAGTTTTTTTTTTAAGCAAAGGAAACATACCTGTAAACTACCTTGCCAGCTAGCCAGCCAAGGATGCCAGACACACCTCGCTCCAAAGGAAATCCAAAAAGCAAACTCAAGAAATCAAAATCCAAAATTTATTTTTATCACTGCCAAAGTATTTTTTCATGGTCTTTCCATTCCTGGGTTTGTTTGGATGTTGGTCTTTTATTTTGGTTTTGATTTTATTGGGGGGGTGTTTGGTCACTGGGATTTGGTGGGTTGGGCCAAGAAGAAGCCTTTTGTTCCTTTTTGACTAGTGGGCAGCATCCTTGCTGCACAAAGGAGTCAGCGTCAAGGCCACGTGACCCTCAACACCATATCCAGAAGCCCCAGTCAACATGAGCCTGAGCGTTGTGTGCCCTAGGGCCATGTCCGTGTGTCCCTATATGCAAGGGAGACACCTCCATCTGTCCTCACACCTTCTGTGACTTCTCATAACTCATTTTCCACTTGTGAAAAAAAAAAAGTGCTAAAGTGTTCTTCCCAGAGAGAGCACAATTCCTAAATGAAACTGTGACAATCTTTTGGGTTGATTCTTGACTGCTTTTGAAAGCATAAGGTGACAGCGAATCACGCTTTCTCGGTTTTTCCTCCTCTACCTCTCTGCGCTCCCATTCCCACCCCAGCTCCATCTCAGCCCTGCCACCCCATCCCCGGTGTCTTGCTGTGGCTACCGTCATTTCTTTCAAACTTTTACAGAAAAAAAAAAAAAAAGGAAAAAAAACAAACCCCACATAAAAGCCAGCAGCCACCCTCACCTCACCTGGAAGACTCACGCCCAGCTGTGCATAGCTCTCTGTGTTGCATCCCCAGTGTTCGTCTCCAGCCCCGAGAGTGACGGTGATGCTCGCCGCCCACCTGCACTCCAGCCCTTGCCCACCCTGCCCTCTGCCCGCTCGACTCCCTCAAGGACTCAAGGAGGAAATGAAGGAAGGAGGCTCATGCCTGTACCAAACAGAAAGACAGCAGACACAGTCCGGGTCTGCACCTATGTGTGTGGCTGCAGTAAGCTGCAGGCCTAGCGTGCAATATGGGGGAACTGCTCCTGAACCCGGGGCCCCGGGGGCCCTGCCCAGAGCAAGGTGTGCAGCGTGTGTTAATGTGAATGTAAATAGTCTCCACAGAGGTCCCAACCACGGCGTCAGTACCGAGGAGATGTTTGCCAAATAAAAAGAAATTAAGACAACCCACAGAAGTATGTGAAATTTAGGGAACATTTTGGAAGGAATCTGAGCTGTGGTCCTATGGGCTTGTTTGGTGGCTGGTATTTCTTCACAACTGTAAAATTCATTCTGTAAGAGAACATTATATGGAAGGATCCTGTTAGGCACTATCAACCTGGTGCTACCCCGAATGGAGCCTGACAGCAACCCTCGCTCTGAAGGCCAAGGTAGAGCTCATCCTCTGCAAGGTTCCTGAGGCCACAGCCCTCCAAGCCCACAGAGATGTATTTTTGTGGGTTTCAGAGAAGCCAGGACACATGGCGGCCTCCTGCCCTTCCTTCTGGTGGACCAGTTGCCCTGAGCGTCTGCCTGTGAACACTGAGTCTGTGTGCTGGTAGAGACCTGCCTCCTGTGACAGGAAGCATCACTGGATTCCATTCCCAGATGCACCTCTCGCCGTGCTTCTTGTCTGTTATCCCGTGGCATGCAGCATCCTTGGCCCTTCCGGGAGGGCAGGCCAGTGGCTATTCATAGGAAAAAGCTCTGGGGTGGGGGGCAGGAGGTGGTGAGCACCATGTCTGTGGGATGAAAATAAAGCTAGGCCCTCGGGTTGTGCTTAAGAGCTGTAGTCTCTGGAGGTCTGGGCCAGGAGTCCTGAGGTGGCTTCCCTGATGCCCACGTCCCTGGTGTCAGGACTTGAGAGTGCCTGCTCCTATGTGGTCCAGCCATCCTGACGGAGGTCACGGAGGGTCCCTTACCGGAAGACCCGCCAGTTTGCTTTAGCTTCACTTCCCTCCTGCCCTACCCACACCACCCTTATCGACCTTTTAAGAACACGGAGGCCCGCCAGGGACAACAAAATGCTGCCCAGCCCAGTTGGCCTCCGTGAACCAGCTTACATATTTCGGGTTCAGCAGAGCCCCTGGCTGTTGGGGTAGCCCAAGACAACTGTCAGATGCCATTCAACCACAGTGAGTTGCTTGTGCATGAGATCTGGCCAGCAACTACAGACACCCAGGCTGAGAGGAAGAGCTCAGCAGTCAAGGCAACTGCAGAATCAGGGTGGGGGTGGGGAGGGCTGAGTGAGGGAACTGGGCCTGGAGACAGCAGGAGGGAACCCAGGCACATTGCCCAGTTCTAGCCGGATGTCAGCAGTGTCGTCTGAGGCAAGGAGGAGAGGCTGGGGGGTCCTAAACCAGGTGCTAAGGCCCTGGACAAGCTGTGGGTGCTGTGCTCAAACTTCAGCCACCAAAAGACGTCACAGCAGAACCAAACAACCTCAAAGCTTTGGAAAGAACAGGGTGCATGGGTGTTCTTTGTTGGGAGGTATACCCTGGGTGGCCATAACCACGGCATGCCCTTGGTTTCAACCTAAAGTCTGCCTGGGGCTCTACACAGAGCTGGAGGAGGGCGATACCCCATCCCTGACTCCTGCTGAGAGCTCCTGCTACCTTCTCCAGCTCGGAAACCATGGACCCAAGAACAGCTGCCAGGACCTGCCTCCTGGTAACCACAGACAAACACGAACCCAACCCCTAGGGGATGTGGCTCTCACAGAGCCTTGCTCCCCAAAACCCCAAATCAAAATGCAACTTTACTTCCTGTTCTGAGGCCAAAGCTAAACCAGGAAGGCTTAGTGGGGAGGGCAGCTGGCAGGCAGAACTCTCCGACCCCCAAGGCCTATCCCAGATCCTGTCTCATGACCTTAGGACTTCTTGTCATGTGTCCTTCCGCCTCTCCCACCCCTCCTCATCTCCTTGCCCAACCCTGCCCCAAACTCGGACTGGCCTTTCTCCAGTCTGCTGCCTACGGGCTGCCTCAAGAGTCTTTCCAGCTCCATCCGCAGACCTGCGCAGGAATGGAGGCCAATGGCTGTCGTTCCACACGTGGTCACAGGTGTATAGGAGCAGGCTGGATATACCACAGCTTAGGTCCTACTGCCCGATGGGTGCCAAGGTGAGAAGAGCTAGCCCCCAGAAGGATTCAGTCAACAGGGACATCTGTCAGAAGACCTCAGGTCATTGATGGTAGAGAGGGACAGAATAGGATGCAGGGCCATGGGCAGTGCTATCTTGAGGCCACAGTGGACAGGAATCAGGATGGGCCCCAAAGTTCTCTTTTAGTTTCTCCAAATAAAATCATTAGGCTAACACCAAAGTATCATCTCTGGCATCCTTCTGTCCATTACTCTGCTCCTCAGCCTAACCACACTGATAGATTGATACTTTCCTGAGTTCACCCTTCTGACTTACCCAGATATCTTTCCATGAACCCATACACCTCTACCCATTCATCTTCCTCCACCTAACTACCTTCCATCTAACTACCCCCATTATCCACCTTGACCCACCTGCCTCTCCATCTGTCATCCTTCCACCTGCTCATCCATCTGTCCACCTGTCCAACCCTACCTGTCCATGCCATCCAAACTCTTCACCCTACCATTCCAGCTTACCATCCTTGTGTCTGTATATCTTCCAGTCGTACCCACACAACCATCCCTAGATCCATCTTTCTTATACTGTCTACCCACTGTACTCAGAGTAGTATCAGCTCCCTCAGTGAACCAAAGACACAAGGTCCTCCTATGCCCTCCATTCTGCTTGCCCTGAACTGGCCAGGGATGCCCTAAGAATACCTATCCATGAGTCAACAGCCCTTCAGTGCTCTGTCCCACCATGGCCTGCTTTAGACGCCTCCAGAAATATGAGTTCCAACTGCAGGCATTGTGGACAGATTGGACAAGGTCTTACAGCAGCTGTGACACATCTGGATCTACTTGGGGAGAGAAGGGGCCAAGAATGTGAGCTGGGAGAAGGTCTACACACCTGCTTGGGAGCTCTGGAACGCTGTGAGGCAACCACATTCCCTGAAAGTAGGGGCAGTCCTTGATACCAGGAGTCTGCCCGGAAGAGGGATCTCTGAAGAGAGCAAGCCAATGCTTGCCTCCCTTGAAACAGTGGCACTCCTAGGGTCCTGTTCAAGACACTTGGGTACCATTCCCGTCTTCTCAGTTAGGATCCCAAGTAACTCAGAGTTGAACCTGTCCAGTCTGCCCTACTGAATGCACTGATGGTGTGTGTGTTGGGGGGGTCACTAGGTGTTTGGGGCCATCCACAGGCTCCCCTGATAACTCATTGTTCTTCCTGAAGCTCCTACCATGTAGAAAAGTTTCTGAAATGAGCTATGAGGGAGACCCCTGGGTTACCATCATGTTGGCAAGAGGAAGAGAAAATAGAGAAACTTGAGATGAGCTGGGCTCAGAGGAACCATCCACTCCTGTAGACAGCTCACAGACAAAGCTCAGGACAGTCTCTCAACAACTTGCACAAGTCCCAAATTCTAGAAAACTCTATCTTATTTTCTATTCCTTTTCTTCCAATTCAGCTGGCCCTTAAAGAGTAGCAACCCAGACTGGGAAACAAGAATGTGGCACCTGACTCAAAGTGTGGCCTACTCACCACATCCTCAAAGGAACAGCCCCTGCTCCCACCCAGACAAGGCCCAGCATCCCTCAGCTCACACCATATCTGGGGTTGGCCAAGGGTCGGGCCCAGAGCACAGGCTCCCCTAGACTGCTGGGGGAACTGTTGCTTTTCCTCCGGCATGAGCTGGGAGGAGGGTACTGGGTGTTTTCTTCGTGGAAAGCGGTGATCCACAGCCCTCCACGTTGGGTGGTGTGCCATACCACCCATCGCTATCCTCTGCTGTCCTCTATGTTTGCCCCGTGGGCCGTGGACATGATGATCAGGTTAATTACATCCGTGTAATAAAGTGAGCGTTTGCTATGATGACTTGCTGCTCCTCCAGACCGTTGCGCATACACAATCACCATGTTGAAAGACCTGGTGTATAGACAAGGGTGGATGTGGTGATCAGTTGTACCACAGAAGACTTGGGGTGGACAAAGGAAGGGAACCTCAGCTCCATGTGCTGCTGCTGTATCTTTAGCAAATGGGGTCCATCTTGGAAGGCTGGACCTTGGGGAGTTCTGGAAAATCTTGGGCCCCAAGAATGACCCTGGGAGTTTCAAGGGCCTGACCGATAGCTGACTGGTTTACTCTTGGGGCCAAGTTCTTTGAGCTTTCCACATGAGGGAGATAGTGGGACCTGGCTGAGGGAAACACTAAAGGCTTGAGGGACACTGAGGACCTGAGGGGGACACCGGATCTGAGAGAACCCTATAGGGAGACTTAAGACCTGAGGGAAACTCAGGACCTAAGAGAGGCACAGCAGAAAGACCCATCTCTCAGGCTGCTCCTGTGGCAGCTGTGTCCTGGCTACAGGGGAATCCCTCTAGAACCAGCTACGGGCCATGGTGCTTCAGGGTGCACTGGTAGCTGCCTGGAGAAAGTGACTGTCATTAATACTGTCCCAACTTGGAACACGGTGTATTTTTTAAAGCATTGTGGGGGAGGCCAGCATGGGGGTGAGCTCGCTGTCCCTAGGCCAGGCGCCTGGCTGGAGCCCCACTGGGCCTGGTGTGTCAGCAATCTCAGGATAGCATGAGGGCGAGGAGAGTGACAAGGTTTTTCCACTGCAGACACTGAGCTCAGAGGGAAGACTGGCCAGGGACTGGGCTCCATCCAGATGGTCCTGGCGTGGACACAGCCTGCCATGTCCTACCTCCTACATGGAAGTAGAGGGAAGACCCAGACAGGACCCCAGCAGAGAGAGCTTCCCACACAAGGTGGAGGAGGATGGCAGTGGCTCCTTGTCTGTCCCTGTCCAGATCGTCCAGTATGGCCAGCTTGTTTTCTGCGTAGCCATGGGTGCCGCCTCTGAGTAGCCCTGGTCTGCCAGAAAGGACCTAGGGAAGTAACTGAAGCAGGACTGGGGAGAGGCCAGTGGCCACTCAGTCTCTGGTCAGGATTACTTTATCTCAGGTCATGTGACTGTCCCACAGCCCTTCCCTTATGAGGCATGGAGGTCACCGCAGTTTTTATTATTGTGGAGTTGTTTATGACAGGGCCTCACTCTGGAGCCCAATCTGGCCTTGAACTTGTGATCTTCCTGCCCCAGAGGCCCAAGTGCTGAGTGTAAGTATGAGCCATTGCATGAGGCATGATAGTTTTCAGCTACTTTGGAGAACAGAATGAGCACGTGAGAAGTCAGGTTAGGGGTCAGAAGCTCAGTTTCCTGGGGCTTCAACAGCCAAAGCTACCCCCCACCTCTGCCTCTCAACCTCTCCACCCACCCCAGGTTTTGGGAGGTGTCAGTCACCAAACTCCACATATACAGTGTAGCCCACTAAACCTATCTCCTATCCCAGCCCAGGTTCTAAGAAAGACCCCATTGGCTAGCCTGGGGGCAGGGTCACAGAAGTGTGGCTGTGGATCTGAGGACATGGAGTCAACCTGAAGGTTCCCATGGAAACCTCAGCGCCACAATAACATGCACAGCATGAGGCTCAGCAGAGTAGACTCAAGAAACCTCAGTGCCTGGGTCCAGCTAAACGCCAGCAATATGCGAGTAGGTCCGCCCCTCTTTTGGAAGCCACAGGAAGGAGTCAGTGGATGCAGACTAGCAACAGTCCTGTAGGGTGAGGGCAGAGGGGCAGCAGCAGATGAGCAGGGCTGGAAACCACTGTGCCTGCCTGCATCCGCCAACTACCCATCATCCAATTTGTACAGTTCAGCCGGAGCCTCCCTTATGGCAAAAGGAATCATCTAAATAGTGCCAGAGTTTAATAGGCTCCCATCTAAAGGTGCCCTGCGTAGAGGTGGGGAGGGAAGAGTCTTGGAGGAACTCATGGTTAGGGCAGAATATGGAACCCTACTCTGGATGAGGCCAGGCCTGATCTCTTAGCTCTCCAGGGGCCCTTGCTCAAACTGACCCAACGTATCCAGACACCCATAGGACCACCTCTCCCTCAACAGCCTGGCCCAAGCTGGAAGGCCTTCCTATGTGCTTTAGTGGAAGCAGCTGGTCAGGATGAGGACTTAAAAGGGAGAGCCACAAGGAAGATGCAGCTGTGGAGGTGAGCAGACTGGAAGAGCCAAGGTTCACCCAGCCCGCTGTTTTTTCATACCATGTGGCCCTTCCGGAGCAATGATCTCTTCCCGCCCCCTACTGAAGCCTGGCTCCAGAAGGTCTCCTCAGATCCTGAGGCCCAAGGTTGGGGGGCCTGGGGCATGGCTGAAAAGACCCCTTTGGGGCCAAGAGCTGAGAGGAAAGCAGAGAGTGATGAGGAAGCTGAGGAAAATGGAGATGCAGGCTTCCTGCTGTCCATGCTGAAGCAAGAAAACCTGGCCGAGTCTCCAGTATACAACCAGGTAGCACCCCGTCATGACCCATGGAGGCAGGGCATGGGCTTGGGCATGGGGGGGGGAGGAGCACAGCTGACTAGGAGGTGGAAGAGCCAATGCTGCAGACCACGGGGGCCTTTCTGACCAGGGGGAGGTGTCCTGGGGTGGAGGTGTCAGGGGCTTCTGGGCCCCAGCCCCTAGTCTGGACTATGGCTACGGGAAGAACAGGATGACCTAGGTCATTCCTTAGTAGCCATGACTCTTCCAAGGCGGGCTGGCCACACCTGCCCTCCATTCTGGAGGGGCCTGCAGGCCACCTACCCCAAGCTTACTGTGGTATGACCGGCAGGAGTTGGAGGCCATCAAGCTGAAGCTGTGGGCCATGGAGCATGCTGACACCCGACAGGAGCCATCCTATGTACAAAGAAGGGTCACAGAGGAAGAGGGGGCTGAGGCCAGACAGCTGCTGAGCCCTGAGACCATAGGTAGGAACCCGGGACCCTTGTTGACCCTGTCCCCAGATGGTAATGGTCAAGTAGTCCTTGACCACTCAGCTAAGACTCTAAACCCCACTGCTCTCAATGGAGAAGTACTCAGCATGGACTCTACATGAGGACTATTGAGGAAGTATTCTGGATCAGCCCACAGCATCAGGCCTTGCAAACCCACAATGTGATCTTGGAAGCCTGGGTGACCTTCCCTGGGGTCATGAGGAATGGGCTCTTCAATGAGGTCCTCCTGATGGTCCTGAGGTTTTTCTCTACAGGCTACTTCTTCCCTGGGACCCCCAAGGAAAAGGTGGAGGCTGACCACAGATCTGTCTATGTGGGCAACGTGAGTAGCAGATAGGGGAGGTCACAGCCCTTTCGTGGCATCTGGCTCCAATTAGGGCATTCAGCTGGGTACACACATCGACGTCTGCCCTGGATGGGGCTGGCTAGGAGACTGAGGTAGGGGGCTGTAGGGTTGTAAACTCATGTGTCTCCAAGACTAGACTGAAGGGGCAGGTCTGCTGCTACTTGCAGCAGAGGAAAGGGTGGGTTGTAGCTCTTGGGCAAAACCCATGGAGGCACGTAGTGGCCGGTCCTTGACCATTCAGCTGAAGCTAAGGTCAAGAATTCTGGTTTCTCAACACGCTCTGAAATTTGAAGTTCCTTGAGATTTATTGCTCCACACACCTGGCATGAGCCAATACCTGGGACACAACCAGCTGCCCACACAGGAAGCCCTTGACTGGCTCTCAGCAATCAGCCTTGGGCAGGAGTGGGTAAAGCCTCAGCCCATTTCCAGCCAGGGGCCAACCAACCCTGGGGGTCCCTCTAACCCCTTTCTGCCACAACTGCCTCGGAAGGAGGTCGACAGAGAGAGCCCAGCACTTACAGCAGGTGCCCTTTCTGAGAGCAGGTGGATTATGGAGGCTCGGCTGCTGAGCTGGAGGCCTACTTCAGCCCCTGTGGGGAGATTCACCGGGTCACCATCCTGTGCGACAAGTTCTCTGGACACCCGAAGGGGTCAGTGTGGGGCTGTAGCGGGAGGGCAGGGAGGGCGGGGCTGGCCTGGCCTCTCACTGCTGGCCCCCTCGTTCCCCACCTCCCTCCTCCCTAGCTATGCCTATATCGAGTTTGCTTCCCAGAGCTCTGTCCAGGCTGCTGTGGATCTGGATGAGAGCACCTTCCGAGGGCGGATCATCAAGGTATGTTGCCCCAGGTGTCTCCAGGCACCTGTGAGTCACCACCGAGCCTTGCTTGCACATTAACTCACATTCTTCAGGCTCAGAGAGGTTAGAGTACCTGCCCCAGAACACATAACCACCCAGCCTGACCCTTTGGGTGTCTTAGCTGGGTGGGCATTGCTCAAGTTAGGGCATGATGGAAACCCTGAGACCCAGGGTAGAGCTTGGTGTGGGTGTGGCTTGGGGAGATGAGCCAGACTCCTCTGCCAGAGGATGCTGGCCATGACCAGGCATGCCATGTGATCACAGCTGCATCCAAGTGAAGGTGGATGGATAGTTTCAGCCTAAATGGTACGTCTAGGTCAGGAACCCAAAGCCTTGGTCTTAGTCTAGACTCTGGCTTCAGGCCACCCTGGCAAGAAGGGTACAGAACAGTGTCTTGGACCATGGCATGGGTTCCATCCAGGTACTTCCCAAAAGGACGAACTTCCCAGGAATCAGCTCCACAGATCGTGGTGGGCTGCGGACACACTTGGGCAGCAGGGCTCAGCCCTTCCTGCACAGTAGCCTCCATCGAAGATCTCGGTTCAGACCCCATGGACAAAGCCGGTAAGTGGGCCCGAGTGCGAGTCTGAGTCTGGAGATCTGAGCAACAAGATTCCTGGAGCCTGACCCTGATGCTGGCTAGTCAGTCTTCACAACATCATGCTAAGAGAGGACTGTTGTCCCCTCACATGAACCTTAACTGGCCAGGGCACTTGGGAAGGGGCTGAGTCAGAGCTCATGGTTTCTACTAGCCTGGACAGCCTCTGTGCAACCTCCCTACCTGGTAGGGATACTCCTTCCTGGTCACTAGGACTCTGCAGGTGCTAGGCCATAGAGGGTGGGATCCACAGCAGGCCCCTCTGGCCTGAAGTACAGGTAAGGCTGTAGCTGAGCCCATGGGCCACGTGTGGCAAACTCTGGCCCCAGACCTCCCTCCTCCCCTGGAACCACTTCCTCACGAGAGCAGGGAGCCTGAGAAGGTGCCTCCCACAGTCCCTGAGCAGCTTCGCAGGCTCCCTGCCCAGGTGTCCTCCAGGCCTATCCCTCTGAAGGCAACTCAGCTGCCTTTGTCTCCCTCCCTCTCTGCAGGGGCCGTGGACGCGTCTCACCATGGTTCTCACCATATTGAAAAGATGGCCCAGTTTTCAAAGTGGGGCCAGGAGCTGGGTCAGGAGTAAACAGCGGTCTTCCCACTTACTCCAAACTGGTCTTCAAGCCTGGCAGCCCACAAGGGCCTCTGGAGGTGGCCTAGACCCCCAGGTCACAGTGGGAAGGCACAGGGCAGGGAGATGCAGAGGGCAGGAGAGGAAGGGAAAGCCCAGGGAAGCTGGGATCGTCATACTCAAGTACTTTTAAAGAAAAACAGGCATGTGTGTTAATAGTAAAGCATAAATTATTAAACTTGAATATTTTAAGAGCATGTAACAAGTCTCATTGCTTGATCCTCCCTCAGACACAGCTTACACTGTACCTTTCTCCATGGAGTGCCACAGAGAGGGTAGTAATGGGATGTGGCCTTGAGTCCAGAAAATGAGGCTCTGCCTCTGCCTTAGGATTCAATAGACAGTGAGCAGAACTCCACCCCATAACTGTGCCTCTATGCCCCAAGTTGGCTCTCTAGACATAGCTGGATTTCACCTCCATCCTGCCCTGGAAGGTGTCTGAACTGGTCAATTCAGGAAGCAGAGGTGGAGCCCCTGTTCTAAACTGTGTGTGTGTGTGCGTGTGTGTGTGCGTGTGTGTGTGTGTGTGTGACAAAGACAGGCCACCCTGCACCGTCACTGTGCTCAGCAGGAAGAGGGCTGGTCAGGCCCAGGTCTGTCCACTGTGGTCACTGTGGTCACCCACCACCATTCCTTGCCTTATGCTCACTTCCTTCATTCCTTAAGCCCCAGCAGGGCTGCCAAGTCAACGACCCCCGGCACCAGGAGACTGCTCTAGGGACAGGTTGCTGCCCTTTCCTAGACTCCGTCAATGCTTGACCTCCCCAAGCCACTTTCACATGTCCCTTGTCCTTAGTGGAGTGGACGGTGCCCCCGAAAATGCAAGCACATCTTCCCCTCCAAAGTCTGAAGGCAGCCTGTGACCTTATTTGAAAAAGGGTCTCTGAAGACAGATAGTAAGAATTAACTTCAAAGCCAGGCATACTGATGCATGCCTTTAATCCCAGCACTTGGAAGGCAGAGGCAGGCAGATCTCTGTGAGTTCAAGGACAGCCTGGTCTACACAGTAAATTCCAAGACAACCAGAGCTACACAGTAGCTCAAGAAAAAAAAAATTCCCGTCTCAAGAAAAAAAAAAAATTCCCAGACTGCCAGTGGACCACAAACCCAACAGTGGGTGAGGCATGAGACAAAGAGGTCAAGGCAAAGAGCTGGAGCTGGCTAAGGCCTGAAGTAGACTCTTTCTGGGCTTGCAGGAAGCAGCCCTGCCTCCAGCCACTGTGTAAATGGCCAAGTCTGTTTGTGGCACCTGTAGGGTAGCCCCAGGAGTCTGAGCAGCCTTATTCACCTCTGGAAGTGACGGGTTCTGTCCTGACCAGCCAGGGGTGAATGCCACCCAGTGGGCAAATGATGAGCAGCAAATCTGCCTTAGGGTGGCCTTGGGGGGGACTCCCCAGTATCAAAGTGGCCTGGCAGGGCTTCGCCAAGGGTGAAGCCTGCGACTCATCACATTCCAGCCTCAGAACTGCCAAGGCCCTGGCCCTGGTCTGCTGGCAGGGTATTTGCCCTGCTTTCCCTGAACCTTGGGCATCTCCCACCAAGGGGATGATGGCTTTGGTCTTGACCTGTTGCTGTCACCTCAGCTCAGGGGCTTCTAGTCCTCTCCTTATATATACAGTAAGTTCTCTTCTTGGGAGGGGCCCAGGAGACCTTCCTTTCTGATGGACTCAGATCTGTTTGGACCAAGGACAGAAGACTGAGGTACAAACCCCCCTCAGCACACCATCTGCACGGTAGTGAGGACCCCACCAGCACCACAGCCCCCGGCCGTGTGCGTGACCAGTGTCAGTCCACGGCTTTCTCTCCTAGTGTAGGGCGGGGTGGCCAGGCTGCCCTGGCCCCAGGTCTGCATGACAGTACCAGAAAGGAAGGTAAGCAGCCGATGGCCTCACAGACTACCTGCAGTAAGTCACAAGCTAACCAGAGCTGCCATCTTGGCCCCGGGGTGGAAAGCCTGCCTCATAATGGACAGGCAGTGACCGTGGTCTCCAAGACCAGCCTCAGGATCAAACTCACCTGCAAGTCTGATGGCCACATCAAGGCAAGCAGATGACATTATAAGCTTGGTTTGCTAGAGCTTGATAGTGAGAAGACTCCCTAGTGTACACACATAGTGCACACACAGAGCACACTTACACACAATCTGACTATACCAGTCAGAAAACCCAAACAGCAGCAGCTTAAACAGGAGAGAGCTACAGTTTATTGTCTCACATACGAACAGTCCAGGGCCAGCCCATTTGCCCAGACCAGGCTCCTTTCTGCTCCGTCCTCCTGTCTGCATATCCTGTTACCTTCATGATCCGAAGAGGGCTGCCTAAGCTCCCACTATTACACTCAAGTTCCAGGCAGGAGAAAAGCAGAAAGTCTTGAGTACTGAACATCGGCTGAAGCTACTTTGAAAGATGTGTCCTGTAGGTCTCTCCCAATACCACCCTCCACATGCCTTAACCACCTGCCCTGGCGTGAAGGGGAGGGAAACAAATGGCATTTAGCCAAGTTCCTCCAGTAAACCTGAGGTTCTGTCTGTGAGGAGGGAAGGGGGAAGTACTGGGGAACGAGGTGCAGTTCCCAGCGTAGCTAATTCTCAGGTACGGTGACCTCCTTAAATACTCAAGATCCCACCTCACTGGTGTGCCTGCCTTCTCTTGCCAAGCCCAACCTCCTGCTAAAGCCTTAATGCAAGCACATCTGGGCTGTCCTTGTCAGTCAGCTGCTTGTGGAACTTCTCAGTCCGACTTCATCTGCCACTTCTGTGGACCGGTTGGAAGGTCTGGCTTCTTCCTGCATTTTTTAATTACCCTGTGCTCACTGGAGCGAAGCCCTGATACAATGGAGATGGGCTGTCTCCTCTGCTACTCCACCCAGCTCATGTGGACGAGTCACAGCCTGCTGGGCCCAGGCATGAGAAACTCTACAGGGAAGCGGGAGGTCCTGGGCTGATGACTTGGGGAAGCCAGAGACTCTGAAGACATCTGAAGGGGACTCAGACCTGGGGCAGGGCCTCCAGGCCTTGCCATCTCCCAGGACACCACACTGTCCAGTGGCACAGAGGAGCCAGCGCCAGTCACCACCTCCACATAGCCACAGAATTTTTATCTGGGGAGAGCCTGGTTTGTCCTTGGGGACGTGTGGCCTAGGAGCATCGTTGGGGACCCTGCTGACCTCCATGCTCACTGACAGCCAGGCAAGGCTCCTAGAGGTTCTCGTTTGGCACATGGGAAGCAGCAGCTGCTTTAATGCTATGTTCCATGAAGCTTTCAGGTTTTACCACCTCCTGAGGCGGGGGTTGAGCACAAGTGCTGGGCTAAATGAATGGTGGGTCCAGAACACTGAGAGCCCTTGCCCAAGAAGAAACGTATGTGGCTCTTTGCCTTACACTGCCTCCATCCTCTGGAGCTGGCTCTGGGCTCCCCATCCCCTGCACCCTTCTGGACCACCCACCCACTCAGACAATGGAGGCCCACAGCCTTCTGTACTCAGTGTTCTCCCTCACTCCACCTGGCTATGGTCACAGCTCCTACACGGCTCCACAGTCTCTGAGACCAGCTAGCAGGTCCTCAGCTGACCCTCTCTGCTGACACAGGACAAAGCAGATCTCGTCATGTGAGGCCTTTAGTAGGAAGGTACAGAGCACACAGCCCTGCCCACAGGTTACATTCAGGGAGAGGAAAGGGAATAAATAATCATCAAACAGAGGTGAATACAGGCTTCTCTTCCAGGTGACTAGGGCAGAGGTCCAGCTCAGCAGACCTGGATCATCATCGAAGTTACCATGTTATCAAAGGCCCTGGGAAAAGAACCCAGATTTAGAGGAGGACAGGCTATGCCCCTGCCCTCTGCTGGTAAAGACTGGCACTGCCGCGCCGGGTCCTCAGGACTGTTCTGGGAAGCAGAGAGCATACCCACCATACTGGGCAGTGACACCCACCTCCTGACTCCACAATCCCTGCACAGCCCTCACAGGCCTTCTGTGTCATCGACTTCCTCAGCATCCCTCCCAGGGTAAGGCACACAGGGTGCAGGCAGGGGTAAGCACTGAGCCCCAGGAACAGGCAGTGTTCGTGCCCTGCACAGCTTAGGGACACCAGTGTGCTCTCTCCTAGGATCTAGGCGGATGCAGTACTCTCGATATCTCAGCCAAAGGAAGGTGCCACCAAAGGGCCTAGCTTGGGCCACCTGTCAATTGCAAGAAGTTCCTCAGGAATAGTCCCAGAAAAAGAATCTGGAAGCAGGTTTGTAGTGTCTGCATATGAAGGCCATGCCTCCTGATGAAGCACCTGCATGAGGTCCATCCAGTGGGAGGGGAGACACCAAAGCCCAACACAAAAGGCACACCAGGCTACAACAGGAGGACATTGCCTCCATAAAAGCTACGGTCACAGCATGAGCTGTGAGCTTGCTGAGCCCTCTGGAGGTCCTCAGTTACCCACAGACACACCTGGGCGACCATATGGGTGAACCTTGGCCCAATCTGCCTATGCACACTAAACGTCTGTGTCGGCACTATTTAGAAAAACAGGGCTGGCTGCTTTGAAACAGTGGCCTTAGGACAGTGCTCATGGCTCCCTCACTTTCCCAGTGACCATGCTTTCACAAAGCAAGTCTCACAAAGAGACACAAACACACAGGGTCCCACCTTGACTGGATGCGGTCTCCGGGGTTGTAGAAGGGGTTGCACATCACGTCCGTATAGGAGTTATGCAGCTTCCGGAACATCTGAAAAAAGAACAGCAAGTAGTTTAAAAGAGTGCATGCACAGGGGCTGTTGCAGACTTTTACATTCTCAGCGAGGAAAGGGAAGCAGCAGACACCCTCCTCAAGCCCCTGCACTTACACTGCGGATCTCGTTGTCTCGAAGGGCCGTATTGGAGGAATCCACCACCATGACAAATTTCACCTTGGAATTGGTCACGTAGCCATACCTGCACGGCTGTTAAGGAACACGCTTTGGCACAGGGGCTGTATGACTTCATATGGCAGTCAAGAGCATGCAAGCCCAGAGAACTGTGTGAACTCTCCCTTGAGAGAAGCCTGACAACCTTGAATCACAGGAAGTGCCCAGGCTGGGGAGGCTACGCAGCAACCATGCAGGTGTGCACCTGAACTGGGAACAGCTCAGCCTCCTTCTGAACTGATTCGAGGTCTGGGATGTTAGCTGCAAAGCCAAACTTTTGCCATCTCTGTGTTAACACAGTGACTCCAGTGTCCTTGTGGATAGGCTACAGTTAGTCCCCATGGGAATGTTCTTGGATTCTGTGGTCTTAAGAATTTATCCAAAGGAATGGCCAAGAGTTTACAGTGCCACATGAGGCTGAGCCTAACAACACTATCATGGGACAATCACCCTTGATTCAAAGTTGGCGGCCTCTAACGAGCACGGAGAAGCCCAGATCCCTGCCCCGTCAACCTTCACCCTCCTGAAAGTTCAGCCTTGCTTTCCCAGTGACTCTTCCCATTAAAGGGAGGAAAAAATGTTAGGAGGCCCTGGTTAGCTTCAGGTCACCTGCCTGCCTGACCAGCTGGAACCCCTTACAATTTTTCCTTTCTTGTGTTTCCTCCCATATCCCACTCTACGAATGCAGAACAGTGCTGAGCACTGACGGATACACCTTGTAGTCCTCAGTTGGGTAGAGCAGGCCCAGGTACAGCTCCCTCTGGTCCACCAGTGCTTTTCCCATGGCGGAGATCTTCTCATCCACCACATCCAGGGACGTGTGCACCATGTAGTGGAACTTGAGCTCATTCTCTGTGGGAGTGCTTCGGATGTACAGAGGGTAATTCTGCAAGAAGGGATGGTGATCCACCTCGTGAGTCCCAGCTCTGAAGACAATGTCAAAGCACTCCTAAGGTGGGCTCTCAGCCTGTCAACCACTCACGTGCTCTAAAATTCACTGTGGCAGACATTGCCTTCAGGGGCATAACCTAACCTAAGGAGGACTGTATGCCATATGCAGAGAGGGGACTACAGATAATAACTCAGTGCTACAGCACTTGCCTAATATGCACAGGGCCCTAACTTCAATTCCCAGTACTAAAAAGAAAAAAAAATATTGGACTAGGGATGTAGCTCAATGGTAGAGTGCTTGAGTGGCAGCATTAGGCCCTAATTCAACCAGAAAGGAGGAGGAGAGGGACGAGGAGATGGCAGCAGAAGAGGACTACACAGGGGCAGGAAGGTGAGCAGAAATGAGATGGCCCAGGAATGCCAACAAGCACAGTCTAACAACATAGCCTGACACTACGGTGAGTCATTCCTCGTCCTAGAATCATCCCCCCCTCAACCACCACCACACTCTGAAGTGTCATCCCCACACCAGGCACACTGGCTATTTCTTAATGTGCCACACAAGGGCAGAGGTCTGTTGCTCAGCCCTTCGAGACTCAGTTCAAATCTCCAGCTCTACACATCTGACCATCCTAAGCCCACAGTCAAAAGCTTCACTCCTGGCCTCCCACATCCATTGTTCAACTATGTCGTCCAGAAATCATCTCGTCCACTGCAGTTATGAGTCTCCAAATCAGGACACCTCAGCATTGATAATGGACTTCATCGTGAGTTTATCAAAGCAGCAGCTGCATTTTTAATTGAGTTTTGATTTTGGTGGGCTTATGGGGGCGTAACTCTCTCATTCATACTGACAGCTTCACAGCAGCCCAATCTCTAATGACAGGTCTCAAGGAAGACCTGGTAGGATACAGGCTCCGTGCAACAGGATCTTGTGGACCTCTGATGCTGTCTTAGCATTCATAAACAGCTTTCCAGAGGAAATGGATATATATGGTGGCCAGCAAGATAAGAGTTGGGAAGATAAGGGCTGAGGGAAACTGTCAAGAGGTTTGCAGGCCTTCACAGGGATTGGAGTAGGATGCAAGTGGCCTGAAGGGGACTATCCTAAAGCAAAGAAAAGCATTTGAATTCTAGGTTGACTCGCGACGCGCCTGGTTTGTATTTAAATAGCACCGGCGGGGCAGCCAGGGGACGGTCGGGAAGGCGGGACAGAAAGACCGGACGCGGAAGGCAGCTGAGGCCATGAAAAGAAGAACGCGTAGCGCGAAGGGTGGCGGGCTGCAGCGGCAGCCAAGCTTCCCGGTGGGTCTCAAAACCCGGAGGCCGCGGCCTGCAAGGTGGCGGCAGGCGGGCGGCTGACAGCGAGAGAGGGCAGGAGGGATCCTGACCACAGGGCTTGGCGGAGGCTTGGGAGCCTAGAGCTGAGAAGATCGAGGGCATGGCTGGAAGGAGGCCCGCCGCCCGCCGCCCGCCGCTTCACACGCACCTCCTTGGCGATCACCGCGATGCACACCGCCATATTGGCAGGCCGTGCGCCGCATCATGTGACCGGACGGCGGTCAGGCCCCGCCCATCCCTCCGCCCAACCCCACCCCTCTGTGGCTCAGGCCCCGCCCTTCTCTACAGCGGCTCTTCCCTGCTTTTCGGGTCAGACCTTGATTCCGACCCCTTTCCTGTCAGGCACGAGGCCCACCTCTCCTGTTCGGGCGCTGGCAGCGCCCCTGCTTCTGTCGCTCCGTCCCACTCTTCCTGTCAGGCCCCACCTACCGTGTCACTCAGCCTGGCAGGCCCGGCTCCCACGCTTCAGCTTGGGTGGGGGTCCCGGCTTCTCTGCCAGCCTATCCTGTCCTGCAGCATCGCAAACCCAACGCCCTTCCCGGTCTGGCCGAGCCCACTCTTCTTGTCAGTCAGGCGACCTAGGCCCCGCCTCTCCTGTCACTCAGCCACAAGGGCCCGCCCTGCAGTCCAAAAGGAAACGCCGCGAAATCGGGACCGGGTCTTACTTAGCTCCGCTGCGGGTGCTTGGTTGCCATGGCGGCATCTGCCGCAGCGACCGGAGGCCGGCAGCTGCTGCTGGTTCTGAGCGCCCTAGGACTCTTGGCCTCAGGGGCTCCACAGCCCCCCAACATCGTGCTGATGCTCATGGACGATGTGAGTGGGGCCGCGCGGCGGGGGGACACGGACGGTGCAGGGCTGCCACACTGCGGTGGAGGGGTGGCCCGAGGGAGGCTCAGACGCCGATATCACCTCTCTCTCTTACTGTTTCCTCAGTGGGGGGTCGGTATTCAGGGAGGCTCTTCTCTCCCTTCCTTCCTTCTCGGGGGAGGTGCCTGGCGTCCCCCTCCCCTCATAAGGTGGCCCTGCCCTCGGTGCCCACCTCCAGCCTGGGCCTCTGGGGAATTCTGACCAAAGTCGGGCATGGAAGAGCTGAAAGGTAAGAATGTCACCTGAGGGAGCAGGTGTGCCGCAGGCAGCCGTCTGTGAACTCAGCCCCGGGGCTAATCTGCCTCTGTGTCCCAATCTGAGGAATCTGTCTCCCTGAAAGTGACATGAAAGCTTAGAAATCAGCCCTGGGTCTGATCCAAACTGGACTGGACCCTGTCTTCCTCTGAGCCTTAGCCCATCAGCCCCCCACCCCAGACACACACTACAGAGTGGCACCTGTCAGCTACTATTTGAACCAGAGTCACATCCAGTTCAGGTTGATTTGGAACAGTCCTGGGCACCCCAGAGGCTAATAGCCAACCCAGCTCTCCCCACAGAGCCTTCAGACCTGTGCTGACCCACACTTAACTCCTCAAAGTGGTGCCCATCATAATAGAGAGGTGCCATGTATGTAAAATAAGTTGGGTTTTAGAGACTTAGTAGGAGAAAAAGTAAACATCCCACTTCATTAGGTTAGTGGTTCTTTATTATGAAGAAAAATATATGCCTGAAAAATCCTGTACATAATCCCACTACCCAGAATCCACTGCAGGAAACCTTGAATGTGTTTTTCCAGCTTCCCATTCTATGTGGATGATGACTAATTCTACTCTGGGTGCCTGGCTCCTTCGGCGCCTGTCCTGGTGGCTGGTAGCAGGCTTTGCACAGTACTAAGCAGTACTGAAGATATATATCACATACATATATCGTGCCTGTCAGTATTAGGCCCGTTTAGAGCTAACTCACACTGGCTTGGTTTGTTGGTTTGTTTGATCAGAAGTGCTGACTACAGGCGCTTGCCTGTCAGTTTTCTGTTCTCTCCTTTCCAAATGACAGCCTGTGAGGAGTGAAAGGTCTTCTCTCTAACACCCTATTAGACTACTAAAGAGTGTTGAAATGATAGACTGTGGATAATTGAGTTAAGTGACTGTACTGTTAGCCTTCATCTTGACTCCTTACTTTTATTTTTTGTTTTGTTTATTTGCTTGGTTGGTTGGTTTTTTTTTTTTTTTTTTTTGAAACAGAGTCTCACCCTGTAGCCCAGTCTGTTCTGAAATTCACAGTGTAACCAGTGTTGAGTTCTCCCCTGCCCCAAGTTCCAGGCTGCTTGTTTGTTCTTAACACATTCAAGGCCATTTCTTGTTCTCTTTTTTTTTTTTTTTTTAT